GCTCCATTATTCTTACTGAATAAACAGTCAAGCTGTATCGGGAGCAAAGGAGAGGTAGGTACATGGAATGAAATGGGCCATCCTAAGAAAAAAAGTCAATTGTCACTAGAATAGTATCCAAGCCCACATGGTCAGTCACCGTCCAAGAAAATCTGTGTCTCAAGGTTTCTAAGGGGAAGTGGTATAACAGTCCCCTCTGCTTGTTCGCTGGTAACAGACTTGGAAAGGCAACAGGCATGACAAGAAAAATAGGCCTCAATATCTGCCCTAATGCAAGGCCATCGAAGTCAGAGAAAGAGATTGATGTTTTAATTACACCAAAATGGACCACTGGCTGGCTGCTGTAGCAGACTTATACTGCAAGACTTCTTCCATCAAATAGGAATATAGAGCTTATTTTCCCCATTCCTAAGAGGAATGAGGAATTCCCTGAAGATCATCTACACCAACCCACACATATGGATCCAGCTGTTGCTGAGTATGGATTCAATCAGTTAAGGAGTCTCCTTTTCAGAGCAAGGCATCTAGGTGCTGGGAGGGAAGCAAAGTTTTCTGGGTGCAGAATGGATATGGGAAGTTCACAGGGCAAGAAATATTCTGACTTACATAATAAAGCATCAGCCTGATGTTTCTTCAAGCTAGAAATACAAAAAATATAAAAGTTAAAATAAGAACTTTGTGCCCACCAAACTTGGCACTGAATAATTCTGTGAGAAAGTTAAGTGTTTTAAATTCTTGTAGTTAATTCAGATCTCAACTGGGTGCTCTGAACTTTTGAAATGTTGACAATGTTGAAAAGTGTATTTGATGGCCAGAAGCTCCTTGTTAAAAACCTGATTTCAATTGACTGGAAACAGATGTTGCAAAACTCTTGTTATACTCTGGGGCAGACTGTAAAAGCATGGCCCTCAAACAAAATCAGAAGCATCAACATGAACCAAAAAGGGATAAGTAGTATTTTAATATTGGAAAATGAGTTGAGAAGTGAATGTCTATTTGAACAGGAAAAGCTCTGTTGGGCCTTAGAATCTCATTCAAAGGAGACCACTTTCTTGGGAAGACAAATAAGTACTGCAGTGAGAGCAACATTTTAGGATAAAATTTATGATAAAACTGGAAAAGTTCAGACAATGCTGCTATGTCCTTAACAGCATATGGGGAGATATAATTAAGGCAGAAAAGGCAGAATTTTAACTGAATACATTTGAAGTCCTTCTGAGAAAATAGGTCAAACCAAATACAGGTAGTCCTCGACTTACGACCACTCGTTTAGCGACTGTTCAAAGTTACGATAGCACTGAAAAATGACTTACAACTCACACTTATGACTGTTGCAGTGTTCCCCAGTCATGTGGTCATAATTTGGGTACTTGGCAATTGGCATGTATTTATGATGGGTGCAGTGTCCCAGGGTCACATGATCACCACTGGCAACTACATGATTCACTTAACAACTGCATGATTTGTTTAATAACCACTGAAAAAAGTCACAATCAGGTGCAGTCATGTGATGCATTGCTTAACAACTACACCACTTAACAATGAATTTTCCCATTCCTATTGTGGTTGTAAGTTGAGGACTATCTGTAGTTCACTGCAAGTAGATCAAGAGCATTTAGCATAAAGGTTGTAGTCATGAAGACACTGAAGGACTATGTGCATTTGTTCAGTGTGAAGAGCAGAATCCTCAGATTAAGCAAATGATCCAAATAATCAAAACGTTGAAAAATTATTATTCATGAATCACACGAAGAATGGCTTGATGCACGCCTGAATAGCATCACCATATATTCAAATGTTGTGTAATACAGTTAAAGCAGTAAAATATTTGGGCCCTTCCTTCATGCACAACAATGTGCTCTCCCTGTGATCTAATTTGGTAAAAATAGATACTTTCTTCAGCCATTTCAGAAATTCAAAAATGAGAAAAACAGTTTAACAGTTATAATTAAAAACAGCTATCCCAAAAAAAAAAAAAAAAAAGCATTTACAGGGAAGGAAAATAGGTGGATAAAGCCTTTCTGAAAGTTTTCACTGATGAAGTGCTTTAGGCAGACCAATTCTTTGACACTGAATAGCGGTATTTTGCAGGAATCTGAACTCTAGGAAAGCAACTGATAGTATCACAGAATTGACTGGACAGAGTCTCTGCTTCCCCCTTTCCAAATGTAACCAATATTTGACAGGCACATTTGGAGAGAGTTCCTATGTGATGAATGGGGTAGTGATGGCTTGAGGCCCTGTAAGCTATGAATTTTACAAATATGGAATTAGAGGTTAACTCATCCTGGTTCCAGTGACTATGAGCCTGAAGCAAGTCTATTCCTTGGACTACTGGAAAATGTAAATGCAAAACTAAATAAAGTTGCAGGGATCCCTGATGATAACAGGGAAAATTAAGTGTGCTCAGAAATAGGTCCTGAATATTGGTAGCCATCAGTATTTCAGCTCAAAGTGGGGGACTAATAAACTGCATAAGAGCACACTCGTGTATGATGAACAAGTATATTAAATTTGTCTGGATCAGTAGTGCAAGACGAGATGATGATACATCACATCAGTGAGTTTCTCTTAATTTCTGGGTGCCCCAGCCTCTGTAGGCTGGAATACAATAATTTCCAAACAGATATTTGGGTGATATATTCACAAAACACACTTTCCCCTCAAATATGACACAGGGTTGATGCTTTGGAAGTTCAGGTTTCTGTGGGACATTCATGTATGATCAGGTTCTCCACAACATAACCATAGATCTTGTGTACATCAGCAGTTTTTACTGGGCAGAAAGAGCTTTGATGATGCCCAGCTGCACTGGTTCAAGTTCCACAATCTCTGAAGTTTGGGCTGTTCTGTATCAGAAGGGAGGGTCCCCATTTTGCATCTTCCCTGGTCATCAGTCTGATTATAAATTTTATTCAAGAGCAGCCTGTGGGAAATTGCCAGATCTTAAGAGATCTATGGTTCACACTAAAGCCAGGAGGTAGTAAACTTGCCCAGATTCCTATTGAATATCAGGCAGCAAAGCAACTGTTTAGTGTTGAAGGGCTACTACAGCAGCAGTTACAAGGTCTTGAGCCAGGACTAATAACAGAGCTTCTGCTTGGGCAAATTCTACTACATCTTTGAAGCTAGCTGGTTCATCATGAGTGTTAAACGGTCCACGTGGATCCAATTAGGTTCTAATACAGGAGCAAGGTATTGACACCCTGCTCCACAGTTAGCGGGAGTGCAAGAGAATCTGTAGCCATTGCTTAACATTACAGATGGAACACAGGTGATGCTCCCAAACCAAAAGACTAAAGAGGCAGAGAAGGCTTCATACCTGGTAAATCAATTACTCCACATTTCCAAAGTGTTTAAGTAGGAAGCCATACATACCAGAAATTCTCCATCTAACACCATGCAGGAGTTCTGCCCTTCTAAATATGTCAACTCCCAAGGTTTGAATCCTAGGTCTCTTCCTCCCACTTCTTTGAATCAATGGCATGATGACTGTTGATTTCACAGCCTTAAAGGTCTGTCATCTGTCCCTTGTTTACAAAATAGCTTTCTCAGGCACGAATCAGATTCCTATCTCACCAGCTTCACCCTTATATGAAGTTTGTTTAGAAAAAAACAAGTAATGCTTCTAAACAAAAAACAATGCTGGAGATCACTATAGTTTACTTACACCAAAAGTTATATACAATACATATATAGATACATACATAAAACTTAAGAGTTTAATTAGTTTGGTTTTATTTCAAAGCCTATAAAATTATTTCTAAATTCTCACTATAATAATCCTAAATGCCTTTGGTAAAATAAAGAAGTAAATGAATAAGAACAGGCACTGTAAACACAGTAAATCTTACATGCAAAAACATGAAGAGGGTAATAACTTCTAAAACAGATTTACAGAATATTGTGGATAAAATGATTATGATGTAATGGTAAGTCAAAGAGAAAAACAATTTGGTGCCATGCATTTAAAAAGGAAGGCTTATTACTGTATTTCCCAAGGGAAAAATTCATTAATCTACATAACCACGTTCAGATGTGAAAAATGCTTAGAAATTTCATAAGATCAGTCTACAGAAAGAACAAATTGCCTCAAACAGTTACAAAATCCTATACCTGATTTCTTTTAAGCCTACTTTGTATATGTACATTTATGCAACATTTTCCCACTACACTGCTTCAGAATGTGCTAACAAAGGGACTAAAATGTTCACTATTGCAGAAATTGTTTTAAATACTGTTCAGATATAAATGGGTCATCACAACATATGCTTACCTACTGTTTTGTCATAATAAACTCTTCAAAAAATGCATTCTTGTAAAAATTTCAATTCATTTGCAAATATTAAAATGGCAAAATCAGAAGTACTGTATGCTCCCGTAGTACACTAGTATTAGAGAAATCCATCCAATTATTTTCTGCTTCATTTATATTTTTCATCCAGTCAGATAATGCTTAAATAATACTGCTTAAAATAAGCCATCAGAAGTATTCTAATTTCAGGGATAGGGATTGACTTGAAATGCTGGTTTGGGTCAGATTTCCAGTATCAAAACATGTGTGCAGTAGTAGCAACAAGCTGAATGTTTCTTTTTTCTAGTCAAAAGGTGAAACTGCTGTTTCGCTTATGAGCCAAGACGAACAATAGAATGGGGACAATTTCACATTTCGGTGCTAATTAGGTCCAGATCCTTTTGCAAGAATAGTATCATCTTACCCCTGTCACACCTGTGTGCGCTGGGAACGAAAGAAATTTATCTTTCCTTTACCGCAACTCTTTCCCCCGTTTGCCGGAAACGAAACGCACACCCAAACCTTCCCGTATCTCAGTGCCGGAACCCAGACTCTAGTCTCTCACCCCTTCTGAGGCCCGCCCCTAATGGGGAGGAAAGGAAAATCGAGACACAAGCCCTGCCAATCATCGCTCTGGGCCTTTCTGTTTTTCGTCAACATGCCTCCAGAAGTCTTGCAGACTTGACTAGCAGACAACACTTCTTACCGTCCCGGGAGGTGCCCATGAGTTGGTCCAGCATCGCGCGCATCTGAGCCTGTGCCGACATCCTGAAAATGCGCGGGGCCCGAGTGGGCCGGCTAAGTCCGAATAAGCCCCGCCCACAGCGGCCTAGAAGATGTCGAACCTGACGCCGCGGTCGTTTCTCTCAGAGACAGAGCTAAAGTGGAAGCCCTCTTGCTTTCTCTCGCTGAGCTCGATGTAGTTACAATGGCGCTTGCACCTTCCGTTCAGGCCGAAAAGAAACAGATAACCGCCTCGTGCCCGGAGTTACCTCAGGACCGCGATTTCCCCCGCGCGCTCGCCCTCTCCACGCTTGCCTCCCTTGGCGTGCGCGTACCGCCTGGCAGTAACGGACATCCGTGCGCGTGCGCTTCTCTCCCGCCTATACTTACTATTAGTTTCCCTCTGATTGGCTAACCTGGGAACTGAATCAGACTGGAACATCGGGCGTTCTGCCTTTGCTGATTGGGTTGACGAATTCGTTATTCCTTTGGATCCGCACTGGAGCTGATTGGTGGCTGAGTGTGTGGTCTTTCTGTGACGTGGTTCCTTTGAATTGGATAAGCAACATTAACATTGATTTGTTAATGTTGAAAGTAACGCGTATTCTTTTGGTAGTACTTCCTGAATAACCTACTCTGTTTGTCGGTCTGTTTACTAAAACGACCAAAAAGAGCTTTTTTAGGTTTAATTTTTTTTATAAAGTAGAAACTAGAAGGAAGTAAGCTTGGAGCGGAAAGATGAAAGCAACACCATCTCGGGAGTCCTGAAGGCCTTACAGGAGTTTATTCAGAAGTGTTCGGGGGTTGTTCCCTATTTTGAGTTAAACATATAGAATAATGGGCTACATATGTCCTGACCACAGCTTTATAATGGAATCCAAGTCTACATACAGTACAGGAAATTTCACTTTACTAGATATGGTCCAACTGAATTAAAATGGTGTCAATTTTGAGAATGATCTAAATTTATTAACAGGAACCTGATGAGGTCCATGCTTTTAGTCCTGAAGTGCTTGTTTTAACTTTTAAAGTGAATGATACGGTATTCCAGAGTCTTGTGTTCTCCCACAGAAACCTATAGATTTATTGTATAATTATTGAATAAAGCTTTTATAGGTCACAGTCCACTTCAGATGAATATTGTCCTGAGAAAAGAGTATTATATATACACAGCTATTACTGGGAAGAGAAGAATGATGAAAGGAGCAATGAGAAGCAGAACTGCCTATAATTACTATAAGTAGGTCTCAATTAGAAAGGTTAATGAATCCCACAAAATGCTTCCATTATTTGAATTCACACTATTCAAAGTGATATTCTATAGAAAATATGGTGATTGGTTCCGGCTAGATAGAAATAGGCAATGAAAATTTTTAAACATACATTTTTATATGTATATTAATGAAATATTACAGTAAAGGATAAAAAGAATATACTTATAATTTAAATTTATGGTTAACAAAGTCACAAAGTATAGTGGTACCTCGGGTCACAAACACTTCTGTTCATGACCAATTCGGGTCACGAACAGCACCATTCGCAAAATTTTGCTTCCATTTGCGAACTCCGCATCGGGTGATGAACAGGATCCGCGGCCATTTTCCCTGCTGACACATGTGGTCGTGGATTCCTGTAGGGAGGGGGACTCTCCCTCCAAACAATAACCGCCTCCCCACCCGCCTTCCTGTCCTCCACGCCTCAAGCAAGGTTAGTGTTCTCTCTCTTCATACTGTACTGTACTGTACTTTGTGTCTTATTTTTGTGGTTTAAAAAAAAAAAATACATATGGTTCAGAACGGATTAACCGTATTTACATTGAACCTTATGGGAAAATTTGATTTGGGTCGCGACCAATTTGGGTCGCGACCAGAGTCACGGAACGAATTAAGTTCGTGACCGAGGTACCACTGTAATTATAGAAGCAAAATAAAAAAAAAAATCTAAATATCATTCCTAAAAGTAAGCTTATACTGACCAAAAACATCTTTATTGTCTCTCAAAATATTTTAGTGTAGACTGAACTGTTTTCTCTTTCTTTAAAACTTCATACATATGCTGGTAGACGCAGAGTGAACTTTATCCACATCTTGGTGAATTTGCATGCTTCAGTCGAGGTTAGGGTCAGCATCCATAATTTTTTGCTTTAAGAGTTCTACAGCTTGAAAGATATCTTCAAGTTCTGTGAGAGTGAACTCCTTCACTTGCACATTACTGTTTTCCTGTGATGGAATCTTCCTTTTCTCCATTTTGCACGCACAAAGATTAGCAGTGTCTAAAACCCCAACTGCAACTGCGCTAGCCTCAATTGCTCATGTGCTAGTCTTGCATTAATTGAATTTTGGGTCACATTAAATGCCACCTGATATCAATTTACAATTTGCACTAGACTGAATATTGCATTATTCAAACTCGCACTATAATTACAACCTACCTGTATAAACAAAGCAGTAAATAATGTAGTAGTGATGGCAGGCTTTCAGAAAACTTTGAGCTGGATTTTTTCTAGGCAAATTTGTCCAATTTTAGTCAATACAATATCTTGATTTTGGTCTTTGAACATCATAAAATAAAAACAAACTGCAATTTACAACTGTGATAAAAAATCAGACCATGTCTCAATGTTATTTAGACAATGACTGCAAAGTTAAAAGATGAGTTATAAATAAAACCAAAATCTCTATTGTGTTATCTTAAAAGCTAAAATAAACTACCTATAAAACTGGGTAACTGGAGACTTAAGAACGATAGTTGTAGGTATGAGTTATGTTAAGTATGATTGGTGTTAGCCAGCAGTCAATACCTGGTAGCTTTTGCATGCTGCTGTGAAAAAATTGCCAAGATTATAAGGGGGTTGGAGCCAGGAAGTAGTAGGGAGATGTAAAATTGGTCTGTACAGCCAGACTTAAAACATGGGAGAATAAAGGCATTACAGATGTCTCTATAAAATGAGCAGGAAAGAGAATGTGCTCAGTGTGTTCCAATTTGCCTATCATTGCAGGAGCAATTTCACTCTAATTTGCTTCCACAGAAAAAGTAAGTGCTGGAAAAGTTCCTGTATAGACATTCTTGCATTGATGATGCAATAAAAATGGTTTGTAGAAAATCTTTTGATGAATTCTAGGTTAGCTATTTCATGGTGAAATTGGCCTTGGTAATTCTCTTGATAATTGTAAGGCAGGAATAAAGTGTTTTAGGGAGCTGAAAAGTCTGTAGGTTTGGTAATTGGTGCTAATATCAGATCATTTTGTGCAGAAAATCGACAACTTATCCAATGTAATGTGTAGTTGAGCATTGTTGGCAGTTTAAGGAACATTAAGTTCCTTAAAGCTTAAGGAATGAACAAGTTTTCATTCCCTTGATGTTGTGAGAGGCCTGATGTTGACAGAATACAGAAACAACATTCGTGTCTGGGTCTGCTACAGTGTTTGGTTCCTTGTAGTATGGTCTGTTGTTGCTGGCGACTAGTGGCTGTTTTTAAATGGGTGCCAATCTATAAGCAAGTATGGGCCTACAATCCAAGGCCTATGAAAGGAAACTTTCATTATCCATAATCCATGGATAATGTAAGTTAAGTGGTTTTAGCTGAAATTTGAATGACAAGTGGCAAGTGATGCATTCTGTATCTGCCAAGACACTGTAGATTATTTTGTCAACAATAAATCAGATGGTGATTCAACTGTGGTAACAATAATGTGGCAAGTCAGATGGTGATCAGAGAACCCTGGTGCTATCTCAGGTGAAGATCCATGCAAGGCTTTGTTATGCTTTCACTGTAGGTTTTCACTGGGTTTTGTTCACCTATCTTTACTATTTCATACAATTTTTGTTGTTAAAATAGCCTATTAGTTAAAACATACAGGTAGTCCTCAGTTAACAGCAGCAACTGGGATTGGAATTGGCATTGGCATTGCTAAGCAACGTAGTTGTAAAGCATGTCACATGACTGCGCTGCTTAGCAATGGTAATCCAGGCACTTCCAGTTGCCGTAGTTAAGCAAATCACCATGGATCATTAAGCAAGCATATCACGTGGTCACCATTTGTGACCTCCTGCAGGCTTCCTCGTTGACTCTGCTTGCCAGAAGCCAGCAAAGGAGGTTATAAATGGTGACTGCGGGAACTACATTATAATTGTGAGCTGGGCACCAAATGCCCAGATTGCGATCAAATGACTACAGGGATACTGAGATGGCTGGAACTCTGAGGACCAGTCGTAAGTTTGAAAGGTTGTTGAATGAATTGTCATTAAATGAGGACCATCTGTAATGCCACAATACTGGAAAATAAACTTACTAATGGAATCTAACCTTAGAGTTCAAAACAAGTGCTGAACTGCTATATATTGGAGTAGTGTACATAAACCTTAAAGACAATGTAAATATCTGGTTAGAAGTTCTGTATGTCATACAAGCATTTTTATTTAAACAGAGACCATCTTGAAAAATACAGCTCAAAAATTCTTATGAAATAAGAGCTAAATACTTCACATTTATGGTTCCCATCCCTTTCCTCCAGGCTGTTGTGGCAGTTTAAGTCCTATAAGTCCTGCCACTATGTCTGGTGATCGTTCTCCTTTGCCATGATATTCTTTATGTAGTATTAAATGCTCCCGGATACTACGCAGAAGACAGAGATAAGTAGCAGCCTGAAAATGTAGGTCATGCTGGGCCTTGCAGAGCTTTTCACTGGTTACCTGGAGTTAGAGAAAAGACATACGTAAGGAACTTGGTATAGTTTTAGTTCAGTTTTCAATTCAGATAAATATATTTTTAGCTTACAATAACTTGAGCCAATACGCCTGTGTACAATAAAGCTGGCAAAACTCATTGCAGTGACAAAGATAGCATACACAAAGAACCACAATTCCATATAGAAAATTAAAACCTAAGGAAGAAAATGTTCCCTTACATTTTTGATTTTTTATATAATCTTATCCTAACTTACACAATTCAGTACATGAACTGAGCAATCCTACCTTGTAAACAGAGCATCCCCATGTGCTCTGTGTTATCATTTCATGTGACCAAGATGGAAGGTAGGGTTTTTTTTTTTAAATCCTTCCAAATTGTCTGAATTGTAAGTTATTCAGCGTACATCTCTCTACTCCACTGCCAGTGGCTTTTCACCAGCAAATCAGATTTCTAGGAATACAACCACTCTCTCTTCCTGCAGTGCAGTCCTCAAGCTCTATGGGCCTCAGCTGGCATTCTATATTGCATTATGTTCAAACTGTGTGATATGTTTAATATCTTGAATTGTACATAGAACATAATGGTGTGGGGTGAGCAGAAGAGAATGAAGTACAGCAAGTCTCTCATACGAAATGGTTAGAAGCTACTTCATAATAAGTGTCATATGCTTTA